TAAGAGATGGAGACTGCTCCTGGGCTTCACCTACAACAATTCAGTAAGACAAAAGCCTGAACTCACAAACAGGGCTTAAGACAGATCCTTCTAGCAGGCAAAACGCAACCATGTGACTCTGCTGCTGTTCAACCTCTGGCCCTGCACTGGCTGCTGCAGTGGTTTGGGGAAAGGGGCCAGTACTAAGGCCTCCTAACCCCAGTAAAGCAATCAAACAAACCAACCTGTATGTCTCTTTTATATATTGGGTTTCCCCAAGACTATTTGATCAAAGTGGTGTATGGGARAAAAAAAAATGAAAACCTTGTAAACTCCTTGTTACAGTATTCAATTCTTTCATGACCTGGTCATGATTTGTCTGGATTTTTCTTGTATCAATTTCTTGTTGGCAGTTTTCAACATCAAAACTAAGCTGTGTACGGCTTCCAGAACATGTTTCTTCAGCCTCCATGCCTTGGCACATCCTGTGTCCTTGGCCAGAAATTTATTTCCTTGGTTACTCTCCAGGGCTGGTAGTAAAGACTGCCCTATCAAACCTGATAAGTAACCTTCTTTATGAGTTTTGTAACTTTATTGMAAAAGGTATAACTTTCCTTTAAAACATTTACAGTCAAGTTGTGTTATCATGAGCTCCTCTGCAGGCAAAAGATCATTTGTTCATCTTTAAATTTTCCTTGTCTGTCATCAGGTAGGTGTTTAGCAGATGTTTGCTGAATAAATCCATCAAAAAGGAATCACACTAAATGAAACACTAAATAACACTCTATATTAACTGAAGGCCTATAGCAATGTGGCTGAGAGGATGAAATTAAACTTCTCAGGCTGAAATATTCACCATACCCCAGAAGAGTCATGTAACATGGAGCAAGATACTTAATATGTTCTGTTTCCACATCTCTAAAATGGGATTAATAACGGAACCCATTGTGTAGGTTGTTGAGGGGATTAAATGGATTCATATACACAAAGYATTTCAAGAAGTTCTACTGTATAATAATCACGCCATCAATGTTAGCTATCATAATTATTATTTTTGTCTAGATATAAAAAAGCGGATAAGAGACAATTTATTTAAGGACCAAATCTGATTTCTGCACATCCACAGCACCTTGCCCGCTCATTTCTGCAACAGTTCTTGGGTTTTGCTCTGAGGGATCAGTTCTCCCTAACTCTTAGTCCCTGTGTAGATTCCAGAACCAGGCAGCTAACCCAAATCTGGCTAAAAAGAATCACAGACTGGTTCAGGGATGGGGACATGACCCAAGTGAGGTCACGGATACTCAGATTGACACTTGTGCTGGGACTAATGACAATGAGGTCATGAGAACAGGAGCCTGGAGCTGGGGGTGGGAAGAAAGCAGAGCCCAGAGATGGACAAAGACAAAATTTCCCATCAGATCATGTGACTTCCTGGATCCTGCTGAATTTTTGTGAGCATGTGTCTGTTTGTTTTAATGTATACAAGCCAGTAAGTTCCATTTCAGCTTCATCAGTTTGAGGAAAGTTTTGGCAACCACCCCCCCCCGCCCCACACACACACACTCCAAAGTGTTCTGAGTAATGTAATCATAACCAGTAATCGTAAAGGTAAAAGCTTACAATATTAAGTAATTATTTCACTAAGTCTTATGTGTACTTTAGGTTTTCTTTGTAAAGGGACTAGCTTATTCAGGGATTTTTTTTTATTCAAATGAAAATGGGGATTAGTTAAAAGATGATTAAAGAACCACAGGCTCTTCACACTTGGTGTCCAGAAAAGAGTTAATACAAGATCCAGGAAAAGGATCTCTAACTCTGGGGTGTATAGGCCTTCTTGAGGAGCTTATAGAAAAGACAGATTCAGAGGCTGCACCTTCTGCAGCAGGCGCAGGTATCTGACCAGTACCACTGAGGTTGGAAGTCTGATTCCTCTTAGCTGTTGTAGATAAATCTAGAGAACACAAATCCAGCAGGGAAGAAAGCTCCATAAAGCAATGAAATGGAGAGATTTTCATAATGTTTTGGGGAACTAAAAGAACTTCTAAACCAAGGCCAAGAGTAAGCAGTAATTCTGAAGCAAATGCCGACCACTTTCGAAGGGCCTCAGTTCTCAGGCTGGAAGGATAAAGGCACTGTATCTAATTCTCTCTGTGGCTGCTTTCTATAAAAAAGGAAGTGACATTGAATAGCAACAATAATTTAAAAATTAATTTCAAGCTATGACTTCATAAATTTCATTAAAATAAACTATAGTAGTGTGTAGTAGGTCACAGCACACAATCAACAAAGATGATCTTTGAGAATTCATCTCAGTTTTTAACAGAGCAGCTATAATGAGCACAATTATGATAATTGGTAAGAAGCTTTTGCAGCATTCCATCGTACACAAAAGACAACTTGGAAAAATGGAGTTGCTTGTTTTACAAAGGCCCCACATGAATTTCACAAAGGAAATCTTATGTTGACTGTGATACGTAAGGGGATGATACAAAAGTCACCTGATGCCCATCAGACACCATGGACATAAGAAAACCATTTCCTGGTGTGTATCCATGTTTGCCTTTGTTCAAAATCAGTGGTTAAATAATAGTCGATAATGTCATTATCCCAGAAACTTCCCTGGCTTTCTGAACAGGGGTTTTCCAACAGAGTTGAACCCAAATACTATAAAGCATCCATTGTACATAATGGGTTGACACTCCCAGGTATGTAAAATGGTGTTAGTATTGTACCAGCCTTGGGAAAACTGAGAAAGTAACTCTCAAATAATTTTCTGTAGAATTTCACTATGTAATGAAACCCAGTTTAGAAGGGCTGACCCTCCTTGATCTGAACATACACACTCTAGGATAAACTATTGGGTGACTTTCTTTTTTTTTTAGCTCTAAGCAAGTGGTTCTCTGAACAATTTAAATCCTCACCAATAGAACCAGAAACTGGAAAAGTAATATTCAATGTTCTCAAGTCAAACTTTGTACATCAACAACATTGTGCACTGAGATGAATGATGATGTCAGTGAGATGCGAATGTAGTTCTGCAGAGCCACACAACAGAACCTAATCTACAGCATGAATGTCTTGGACTCCATCCACAGCCATTAGTTGTTAAACTGCCAAGCACATCTCATTATGTGGRGATCTGATTCAATCCAAGGAAAACACAGTAGTATGACTTCAGCAAAATTGCAAAACAAACTCTGATATGTTCTGTGGTTGGGTTTTTGTTAAAGATTTACAAACTGATAATGGGTTTCAAGGCAAAGGCTTATAGTATCTGAATTTGATTTTGGTGTCAGACCCTGCTAAGTGAACTATCCCAAATATCCACTTCCCCTTCATTTCTAACCTACATAACTTATTTTTAATAGGACACATCGGTATTCTAAAAAGACTACATTTCCCAAGCTCCTTTGCAACTAAATATAGCTAATGGAAACAGAAGCAAAGATGTTGTATCCAAGTACAAAAGATTTCACTGGAATGAGCTCTTTCTGCATCCTTGAGCTCATCCGCCTTTTTTTGTTTTTGCAGTCACAGAGTATGATCATTGGAAATCCAACAACCATCTTGAACCACAGAGTGACATTAAGAAGGGAGGCTTTGTGCTAGAATGACAGGGCAGAGAGATAAGTACTTTCTCTGCTCCACCACACTGCTGCCACACATCCCTGGACTGTCAACTTTCAGATCTCTTCCACATGAGAGAGTAAGACTCTTCTACATCCTTAACCCTCTGCTTCAAATGGGAGAGCATAACCCTAATTAATATAATCCAAATGCAATTTCTTTTTTAGTCAAGGCAAAGTGAATTCAAAACCTAATTGAGATTAAATATTTGAACTGATTTGTAACCTCTGCAACTGGAATAATGTTCTTAAGACAAGCAAAAAGAAGTAGAACTTCAACCAAGTAGTAACATACATAGGAACAAAACTTTTTTATTTTATTAATTATTTTTTAAAATTTTCATTAATTATATCTAACTTCTTAAATATAATTTAAAGAGTAATTCAGATCAGTTAATAGCCAAGTAAAGAAAACACAATGTGTGGTATAAATGAGAATTGGTAAAATTGGTATTGTGGTATGTAATCGCCATCTAACATATACTTATCAAAGGTAACAGACTCGGTCTGGAAAGCTTTGGTTTAAAGTCTGGCCTATAGACATACTGTGTGTTTTTCTTGTTTGTATCTTGGTTCTCAATACCTTTGTGTGACTCATTCACTCTGTGTCTACTTATATTGAGTATTCCACTTCTCGGCCAAAAGGGACTTTGGTGTTTTAGTTTTCATGTACAGCAGACAGATAACTCAGAAAAATCCTCAGGACAATAAAAATTATTAGCATGCTTTTGATGTCCAGTGAATCCTTTCAAGTCTGATTTTCACTCTGCACTCTTGAAAAGGCATTAAAATATTTTAAACAGATCTAGCAAACGGATTGAAAGCATTAGATTGCATTTAAAATAAAACCTGCTCCTTAGATTGCTTTTGATCATCCAGGAAGACATCTTGTTTCAGTGTTATTCTATAATAAATAAAAATTTGTGGTTACATGATTATTTGGTCAAAAAATTTGACCAAATAATATTTAACATGAATATGGAAAATATTCATGTTAAATATCCTACTAGAAGTTTAGAGCTATCCAAGCTCTTGTCTACTCCAGTGTTAGGTAGACCTTTGGGGAAACTGTTAATCTCAGCATTATTCTTTTAATGCCTTGAAATCCTTGTTCTGCCTTCATATGCAAATATCCATGGTTATGTTTATGTAAATTATTGGCACATTATTCACTCTAACTACCTACAGCGGTATGTAGGTACTGAATTTAATTAGAGTGATTTATCCATGGTCTCCCTAGTCTCTTGTTGCACACTCTATATGAGAAGCACAAGTGGGTAAGGATCTTAAATATTTAGAAGGATTATTTTAAATAATCTTTAATAAAACATTTTTTTCTATCACTAGCTACTTTGTTAGAAATATATAGCTATTGAGACAATAAGGATACATTACCCCTGTGACATCCATGACCTTAATGGCTGCCAGCTGGCCCGTTTTGACATGACGACCCTGTAAAGAAAAAAAAAAAAAAAGATTTAGTTCTGATGAGTAATATCAGCATTCTGTTCCAACCATAAAAAATTGCCAGAGTCAATGTTACTGTATGTCAATGGGGACACAAACTCACTCACATACACACTTCAAATGTTGTGAAGATTCATTTCTAGTTAGTATTTATTTTGTAAAACATTCCTCATCATTTTGTCTTTCGGGGGTTACTTTCGCAGTGGGTATCAAATTAAATAAAAAGTGCAATGCTGAACAATTTGGTTCTGTTCCTCTCCAAAATGTAAGTAAGAGCTTGGGTGAGAGGTGGATTTATGTGGAAGGGGAGCCCAGCCTGGATGGAGGTCACATGAATGTCCATCAGAAGAAACAAGTGGAGAAACTTTAGTTGCCCTGATTCTTAATATTAAGTACTATAACAAAATCAGCTGTATACAATTTTACTACAATTCACTTGAGATTGTTCATTTATCTTTATCTTAGAAGGGGATCTAAAATGAAATAGCAATTAATCATAGTAGTAGCCAAGACAGTGCTGAGCTTTAGCAACAGCTCCCCACAACTGGGCATCTTTGGATTTTGGAACAAAAACAAATGCAGCAACCACACTGAGGAATCAGAAGAAAATGGCACAGCAGTGAAGAGCAGGGCAATCCCACAGTTTCTCTTTGCTCACTCCTTAAAGAAACTTAACGTATACTCTGATAACAGCAAAGACGATCAGATCCCTTACTTGTAAACACATTTTATATATGGTTCCCCAAATACATTTTATTACTACAAATTGAGTATCCTTTATCAGAAATGCTTGTTTCAGATATTTTTCCCATATTTCAGAATATATGCATATATATAAATGAGATGGGATTCCAGTCTAAACAGGAAATCCCTTTGTTTCCTGTATAGCTTCCACCCAGGTTGAAGGTAATTTTATGTATTTTTAGTGTGCCTGTGTCTTGATGGTGACAATCCCATGAGGTCAGGTGTGAAATTTCCATTTGGGGCATCATGTTGGTGCTAAAAGTTCCAGATTTTGGAAAACTTGAGATTTTTGGAGTAGGGATCTCAATCTACAGTGCTATCAGGTAGTATATTATAGTTTCTAAGATCAGCCAGGCTCAAATCCTAGCTGCATGACCTAAAACAAGTCCCTTCACCTTTTAAATCTCAGTTTTCTCATCAAAATAAAACCTTAATTGGAATTTCCCTGGTCCAAGCCGGGGCCTGATACCCAGTCTAGTCAGTCCTCCCTCTCAAACTCTTTCCTGTGGGAGTGCTGAATGCACCTTTGCCAACATACAGTTTGAGAAACTTAGCACTCAGATTTTTAACTCTTTAAGATGCAGGGAGTCCTCTCTGAGTGAATAATTGGTTACAAGGGTAGAACAACCACCTTGCTCTTTCTAACAGCACCCTGAGACTGAGCAGAACTAGCTTACAGCAGTACTGGTCCAAGAAGCAAGGAGACAGAAAAGCAATCCACAATATACCTCAGATGCAAGGTGCTGGGTCGTCTGGGGCTTGAAATCAATAAAATATCTGCTATTTTTTGAACTTAGGGTTTTTTTTTTTGTTTATTTTTTAGTAACCACTATGTTGTGAAAAAGAAAAGCATGTATTTTTTCCTCCATTTTAAATTTCACCTCCAAACTGAAATAATAGTTCTCCATGGATCTAACAGCAGAGAGAAGTCAGCGAGATCCTGCAGGTGAGGACAACAGGAGCCTCAACACAGTCCCAGATCCAGGTATCCCCACGTGCTGGATTGGGAAGGCTTCAGAGTTATCAGAGCCTGATGATCATGGAGTGCCCAAGAACCCGCCCAGCATAAGCAGCCCTACATCACTGGAGGACATCAGATCAAATGAGGATCCAGATTGAGGGGGATCTGAAGGGAATGGCTAGGAGTAAACTGACCTTTAGGTCATCAGAAACCTGAAGCACAGTTGCAATTAGGAATTTTTAAGGAGGCAACCTGACAAAAAAAACCAATAAATTGAGGAGAACAGCCCCTAAGGTGCCTAACGATCCTGGTTTTTTACAGGTGACGCCAAAATCTCACAGCTAATGAGGCCTGTCTCCCAGGACGCCTTCACCTCTATCCACTGCTGCCATCTGGCTCTTTTTTTTTTTTGTGCATAAAATATTTTATTTTATTCTAATTTGTTATACATGACGGCAGAATGCAATTCATTTCATATTACACATATAGAGCACAATTTTTCAAGTCTCTGGTTGTGCACAAAGTATTTTCACACCATTTGTGTCTTCATACATGTACTTAGGGAAATGATGTCTAACTCATTCCACCATCAT